CCCATAGGTGGGTCGGAAATTTCCATCGGTAGGTCAAAAATTCCCATCAACAGATCGAAAATTCCCATTAGTAGGTCAAAAATTCCCATCGATAGTGGGGAACTCCCATAGATAGATGGGGGATTCTTATTGATAGGTGGGGAATTCCTACCAAAAAGCGCAGAATTTGGACCGATAAGTGTGCGCATTCCTATCAATAGATGGGGAATACCCATCAATAGGTGGGGAATTTCTGCTCATTGCCAGTTAGATATAAAAGCACGCGTGCGTCGATATTCATCTCATTCCCTCTCAATATTCAAATTATAAAGCCGAACCATTATTGCAAGAGCATACTATTTACATACTTGCTCATATTTATCTACTATTCTCTCATCAGCGTCGAACAGCAACAAATGACAATGCAGACGACTACTCAAATGGCTTATTTAATCGCCTTTTTGGCATTAGCATTAACAAGCTTTATGGTACAAGCAGCATCATTTTATGATGACGATTTGGATGTTAGAAACCTGCTTCTAGCTGCTCTATTTCAGAAACGAGAAGGAAATTAATTTGTCGTCTCTTTCTCCCTCATGCAATCAGCTCCAAATCTTTACCTTCAATTCAGCCCAATATTTGAAAGAATCTTCGAAAGAATTATTCATTTGTCGCCTCTTCACACTTGATGCACCGAACTCCAAATCTTTGCTTTCAACAGAGAAAAATATATTAAAGAATCTTCCAAAGAATTATTCATTTGTACTGTCCTCATATTTGATCAAATCAACTTCAAATCTGTCCTTTGCATTAAACAAAATATTTGAAAGCATCTTTTGGAGAATTATTCATTTGTCGTCTGCTCATCGTTGATGTAACCAACTCCAAACTTGACCTTCAATTCAGCAAAATATTTCAAAGAATCTTCCAAAGAACTATTCAATTCTCGTGCATTCCTACTTCATGTACTCAACTCCCAATCGTTCCTTTGAATTCAAAAAATATTTAAAACAATCTTTGCAAGCTTTATTCATTTGTCGTGCGCTCACACTTGATGTAATCAACTCCGAATCTTTGCTACCCATTCAACAAAATAATTCAAAGAATCTTCAAAGTAATTATTCAATTCTCGTCTGTCGATAGCTGATACCATCAACTCCAAACCTATCTCATGAATTAAGCAAAATATTTGAAACAATCTTGACACGAATTATTCATTTCTCGTGTGCTCATAGTTGACGTAATAACCTCCAAATCCCTGCTTCGATTTCAACAAAATATTTCAAACAATCTGTGGAAGTATTATTCAACTGTCGTGTGCTCATAGTTGATCTAACCAACTCCAAATCTCTCCTTCCAATTCAACAAAATATTTCAAAGAATCCTTCCTGAGAATTATGCATTTATCATCTGCTCATAGATGATGTAATCAACTCCAACTCTTCCCTTCGAATTCAGCAAAGTACTACAAAGAATCCTTTGCAGAATTATTCATTTATCATGTGTTGATACTTGATGTAATCAATTCCAAATCTTTACTTTGAATTCAATAAAGTATGTCAAAGAATCTTTTGCCAAATGATTCATTTGACGTGTGATAGTATTTGATGTAATCAACTCCAAATCTTTGCTTTGAATTGAGCAAAATATTTGAAAGAATCTTTAAAAGAATTATTCATTTGTCGTGTCTTCATAGTGGATGCAATCCGCTCCAAACCTTTGCTTCGATTTGAACAAAGTATTCCAAAAAATCTCTCTTCAGAATTATTCATTTGTGGTGTGTTCATACTTGACATAATCAACCCCAAATCTTTGCTTTGAAATGAGCAACATATTTCAAAGGATCTTTTGCAGAATTATTCATTTGTCAAGTGTTGATACTAAATATAATCAACTCCAAATCTTTGCTTTCAATTCAGTAAAATACTTCAAAGAATCCTTGCAAAAATCATTCATTTCTCCTGTGCTCACAGTTCATGTAATCCACTACGAATCTTTGCTTCCACTTGAACAAAATATTTGAAAGAATATTGTCAGGAATTATTCATTCCTCGTGCCTTAATACTTAATGTAAACAATTTCAAACCTTTCGTCTCAATTCAGCAAAATATTTGACAGAATCTTGTCAAGAATTATTCATTTCTCGTGTGTTGATAGTTAATGTAATCAACTCGAAATCTTTGCTTTGAATCGAGGAGAATATTCGAAAAAATCTTTCGAAGAATTATTCATTTGTCTTGTGTTGATGGTTGATGTAATCAACTCTAAATCTTTGCTCTGACTTCAGCAAAATATTACAAAAAATCTTTTGTAAAAGAACTATTCATTTGTCGTGTGTTCATAGCTGATGTAATCAACTCTAAATCTTTGCTTTGAATTGAACAACATATTCCAACGAATCTTTCCAAGAACTATTTATTTATCATGTCTTCATGGTTGACGTAATCCACTCCAAATCTTTCCTTTCATTGACCAAAATATTCGAAACAATATTTACAACAATTATTCCTTGCTTGTCCGTCGATAGCTCATGCAATTAACTACAAATCTTTGCTTTCAATTCAGCAAACCATGCGAAAGAATCTTTACAACAATCATTTATTTCCACTGTCCTAATAGTTGCTGTAATCAAGTGCAAATCTTGATTTTCAATTCACTAAAATATTTGAAAGAATCTTTGCAAGAATCCTTCATTTGTCGTATGTTCACACTTTACGTAGTTCGCTCAAAATGTTTGCAATGAATTCAGCAATATATTTCAAAGAATCTTTACAAGAATTATTGATTTCTGGTATATTGATAGTTCACACAATCAACTCCAAATCTTTGCTTTAAATTCAGCAAAATACTTGAAATAATCTTTGCAAGAATTATTCATTTTGCGAGTGCTCATACTTGATGTAATCAACGCCAATTCTTAGATTTGAATTCAGCTAAATATTTGAAAGAATCTTTGCAAGAATCATTCATTTCTCGTGTGTTCATAGTTGATGTAACACACTACAAAACCTTGCTTTCGATTCAGAAAAATATTTCAAACAATCTTTGCAACAATCATTCATTTCTCCGTGGATACTTGATGTAATGAACGCCAAATCTTTGATTTCAATTGAGCCAAATATTTGAACGAATCCTTGCAAGAATTATTCATCTGTCGAGTGTTGATAGTTGATGTAATCAAACCGAAATCTTTCATTTCAATTCAGCAAAATCTTTGAAAGAACCTTTGCAACAATCATTCATTTCTCGTGTATTCATAGTTGATGCAACACACCGCAAATCCTTGCTTTCGATTCAGCAAACTATTTCAAACAATCTTTGCAACAATCATTCATTTCTCCGTGGATACTTGATGTAATGAACGCCAAATCTTTGATTTGAATTGAGCCAAATATTTGAAAGAATCTTTGCAAGAATTATTCATTTGTCGAGTGCTAATATTTGATGTAATCAACGCCAAATTTTAGATTTGAATTCAGCTAAATATTTGAAAGAATCTTTGCAAGAATCACTCATTTCTCGTGTGTTCGTAGTTGATGTAACACACTGCAAATCCTTGCTTTGGATTCAGCAAAATATTTGAAGCAATCTTTGCAAGAATCATTCATTTCTCGTGTGGATAGTTGATGTAATCAACGCCAAATCTTTCATTTGAATTGAGCCAAATATTTGAAAGAAACTTTGGAAGAATTACTCATTTGCCGAGTGTTGATCGTTGATGTAATCAACGCGAAATCTTTCATTTCAATTCAGCAAAAACTTTGAAAGAATCTTTGAAAGAATTATTCATTTCTCGTGTGTTGATAGTTGATGTAACAAACTGCAAATCCTTGCTTTGAATGCCGCAAAATATTTGAAAGAATCTTTCGAAGAATCATTCATTCCTCGTGTGTTGATAGTTGATGTAACAAACTGCAAATCCTTGCTTTCAATTCAGCAAAATATTTCAAACTATCTTTGCAAGGATCATTCATTTCACGTCTGGATAGTTGATGTAATCAACGCCAAATCTTTCATTTGAATTGAGCCAAATATTTGAAAGAATCTTTGCAAGAATTATTCATTTGCGGCGTGTTCATAGTTGATGTAACACACTGCAAATCCTTCCTTTGAATCCA